GTAAACTTCTTTGCAAACAATACTATTGTTTGCAAAGAAGTTTACATAGTAAAAGAAACGTTTTTTAAAGATATCTCAGCACCCACCAAGCCGATTTTAACACTCTAACCACCATTAGATGCGCCTTGACAAGCTCTACAAAAGTCTCTTAAGTTAGAAAAAAAAAAGTTTTAGGTGCATGCACACCATATTTGGAGACCTCTAATTTTTATAAGTAATTTGAGTCACATTTTACTATGATTATTCTCTGGTTGACTGGTGAATCACCAATTAAACTAATAACTTTATTTATATACTAAATAGATTTAATTAAACTTACTGTATATAATAGAAATTATTTGTTATAAAAATAAAATAAAATAAAATTGTTATCTGTAGTTATTTGCTAAATAAAACTATTAATTTTTTTTTTTTTTGGATATTAAGGTGACTACTCATAGTCCCTGGCACTTTATTAGTTCAAGTGGATAGTCTTGTCTGAAAACTAGACTACATGTTATATCAGTATCACGAAAGTACAACTAGTCACACGTACAACTTTTAGTTGCCTAATTAAGTAGTCTGCCCGAAGCATTAGTGCTATGCTAAGAGTTTTACACTAGATATCATACCTATAGCCTAACTAGGAAGCTATCTAATTAAACTTTCTGGCTTTTACCGGTACTACATGTTTTTTTTAATATGTCCCTTTTAACAGAGACAATTTACCGTTTAAGATGCTAAGACTTTAGCCAACAACAAAAGGCATTTATCCTTGTGATAAATCTAACAGCGCGGTACATGTCCTACACATGTATTCAACTGCATGTTTGGTAACTTCTTCCTAACTAGTACATGTTGTATTGTCGCCAATGAGTTCATATCTCAAGCCAACTTTTGGGGTGCTGCCGTAACCTGATCTATATCTCAAACGCCAACCTTCCTAATTAGTTCTTCATTATGTACTTCCTGCCCTTGCAAGGTTCACAACAACCCCAATACCCCAATTTAACTATCTTCTTACCCGGATTCTTAATTAGTTCCTTCTTTACTTCTAGCCGGCAACCTAAAAGGATTAGTCTGCCCAGGCTTTAGGTGAACGCCCTCCCCTTGGTCCATACTTTCAGAGCATATACCCTTTTCCTCCGGTGCATCTAGTACCTGAGCAGCAGGGAGGGCGAGCAGACTTTTTTTGTATTTTATAGAATTTTTGGGTAAGTTGAGTATGTAAGTTAAAGGCTCTGAAATCGTCAAAATCCATATTATCTTTTTATATAAAATACCCAGGAACATGTTCTAGAGGCTAGATTTTTTTTGGTTAAAAATGACCCTTCCGGAGTCCTAAGAACAATAATTTAGTTTTCTGGTTAAATCAGCACTTAAGAGCTCCAAGAACAATAAATTAGTATTCTGGTTAAATCAGCACTTGAAAGCTTCAAGAATAATAATTTAGTATTCTGGTTAATCGATACTTAAAAAGACCAAGAACTATGATTTGTTTTCTTGCCTAGCTGGAGTCTCCGAAAACTTAATTTCGATGATGAGCATTTTGCTTTTTACGATACATTTTCGTTATATAAAAAATATATTGTATAGCTATTTGACGTTTTTTTGCTTTGAAATATATCTAGATAACATTTTAGCTTTCTTGTCTAGTAAGTCTTCGAAATCCATTATTGCTAACTGTATGAGGGTGTAAAGCACCCGAAATGCGAAGTAAAGTGGAGCATCTAGTTACTATATTGCTTTCTTGTATAGTTTGAGTCTTCAAAATCCATTCCAATCATGAACAAATGAAGTGCAGTGAGTTATCGGGAAGCATTTTTAAGTCGAGCAATATATTGGGAAACATAAAACCCACCAACATAAGCCTGGCAATAGCCAGAAGCAGAGGCAGTAGGCTTTGCACAGAAAGTACAAAGAACGTGTTTTTTGGCTCTCTGATGGCCTTCTTATATACTTAAGTTAGACTATATAGAATAAATTTAAATTTAAAAAAAAAGAATATTTAAGGTAATATATATAAATCAGTTAACTATGTATAGATATAGACCTTGTCCAAGATGTGGCGATACATTCACAACAAACCAAAAATTCAAGTATTATTTAACTGAAAGAAAGCACCCTTGTGCACCTCGAAATATATTACAAGCAACTGTGCCAGTTTCTAGCTCTGAACTCTTGTCTAATTTAGATTCGCAATTTCAAGTAATAAAAGATCCCAATGCTAGAAAATCAGGTGAGTCTGTTAAACAATGGAGATCGAGATTACGAAAAAAAGTCAAAGAATTAGGTAACAAGGATTGTGGTCAGCCAAAAAATTTGGCCAAAACCAAAGCTTTTTATGATGAATTATTGCAACTAGATGCAAATACATATTTCTGACCTGCAACAGAAGAAGAAAAGCATGAAAAGCAAGGATTTTTCGATGAAACTGAAATCGAGGAAGCAAATCTTTAGCATGAAACATCTCCAATAGTACAGCCAAAAATTAATGAGTCAGAGACTCGAGGCTATGCCTCTCCTGAAGCTGGTCCAGGCCCTCGTACCCAATCTCATCATGAAGGTAAACTTATTAAATCAGAAGAAATAGTAACTCAACAAACCACACTATTAGATAATATAGAATTGCAACCTGTTCAAGAATTGCCTATTCACGAAGAAGGATTTCTAGATTTAGATGTAGAAG